CCTCCTTCACCCCATGGCTGCCTGTGGTGCTGTGCCCATGTTGCTCCCCTTGCCTGTGGCCTCTTGGTCACAGGGGTGCTGTGGATGCCATGTGGTGGGGACTTTGCTTGCAGGAACAGCCAGGAGTGAAAGGAAAGAGCTGGAGCTTGTCGGAGTTTGCATTTCAACCCCTCCTTTCCCAGCTTGGCCCCCATGGGCTTCCCATTGCAGCTGGGTCAAACGGTCTTTTGGCAATGGGGTGCCCCAGCACCCATGGGCAGGATGCCAGCAGTAGCTGCTGGAGCTGTCCCTGCCCCAAGATGGGAGGGCAGGGGCACTGGGCATGGTGGGACACATGCAAGGCAGCCATTGAGCTGTCCCACAGTGCCCCAATATCCACTTCACCTCCCTGGGGCCACAGAGCAAAGGAAAAGGATGACTCCTGAAGCACCATCAGGAGGGCTTGTCACAGTTGCCCCCCATCCTGCTCACCCTGAAACCCTTCCTCTTTCTTTCCAAATCAGCCTATGGAGGAGGATGGGGAGGAAGGCTTTTCTCTCACCTTCACCTTTTGGCTCCTGGAAGCTAAGGCTGGAAGGTGGGTGGCTGGCACTTTGAACAGCATCAATCCTTCAACCCTTTGGTGGTAAATGCCTCAGAGAGGAGTTTTACAGCTTAAAACTTGAAGCACAAAGACTTTTCATGTGTTTAAACACCCAGCGACTGCCGGGTGACCACCCCATGGCCAAGGAGCAGCCCAAAGCATCCCATTCCCTACCACCCATCACAAGCTGATCCCAACCATCTGTAGCACCTCTGGCAGGCTCCTGCCCTGTTCCCTTGCACTGGTGCCTGCCTGCAGAGCAGGGTAGAAGGTGGGGGGGGAAGGCTCAGAGTTATTGAAACCCCTCTGCCACACCACTGAGAAACAGCACTGTGCGCAGCCAGTCCTGACCCCAAACCACTGGCTGCAGGGTGGGGGGACCCTGTTGTCAGGCTCTGCTTCACCCCATCTCCTTTCACTGCTGCCTGTGGTCCCCAGGGTGTGCTGGGACCTGCAGCCTGGGACCCCACAGCTTCTGCAATGGGGTTTGGCTCCCCTGGGACACCCGTCGGGATGGTGAGTTCGTGCTGCCCCAGCTGAACTCGGATTCCCTGCAGATGGATTAAAATAGAGCCCCAGGCCAGCTGTTGAGCAATCCTGGAGCGAGCTCCTCGCACCGACAGTTGCTCGGTGCTTCCCCCATCGCAGTTTCTGCCCGTGCTCCAGTGTGTCATTTCCCGTCTCTTCTGCTGATCCATCAGACCCAAGGGCTCCCCTCCTGCACTGTCAGCCTGAAGGCAAAGGGCTGTAACCCTCTCCCAGCAATTACTCCTGCTGAAGCCACTCTGAGCCACTGCAGTCACAACTGTGTTCCAACTATTGCCAAGCCAAAAAAAGGCCTCTCCCTGCCTTCCAGCTATCAGCTCCATCCCCGGGGGAATGGCTTAAAGCTAACAGAGGGGAGATTCGGATTAGACACTGGGAAAAAATTCCTTACCGTGAGAGTGCTGAGGTGCTGGCATAGGATGCCTGGAGAAGCTGTGGCTGCCCCATTCCTGGCAGTGTTCAAGACCCGGCTGGACGGGGCTTGAAGCAACCTTGTTCAGTTGAAGATGTCCCTGCCCATGGCAGGGGGTTGGAACTGGATGAGCTTTAAGGTCCCTTCCAGCCCAAACCAGTCTGGGATTCTATGGAAATGAACATCTGCTGAGGACTGAGGCTGCTCAAATCTGCCACAGCACCTCTGTGGCTGCTCAGGGGAGTTCCTGTGTGTCCCCTGAGTCCACCCCTCCATGCACCTGAACTCTGCAGCCAAAACCAGTGCATGGGGGCAGCGGGCAGCAAAGGGCACATGCATAGTTGTGGGATACACCAGCCTGAGACTGATCCCTCCCTGGATCCATTCCCTGAGATACCTGGAAAAGGCCTTTTGTGGGTTCATTTTAAGCAGCAGAATTGCCCTCTGTCCTTTCCCAGACCCACACAGAGATGCTTCAGTGCACCTTGTGCACCATCTGTTGTATCATGAGCTGCACAAACCACTTCCATCCATCAGCTGCTGCCTCCCAGTTCAAGGGGCTCCTTGAGCACTGGTTTCAGCATGAATGGAGCAGAGGGACAGCGCCTGGAAGCACTGGGATGCTCCCACAGGGCTGAGCATTCCCCCCCATACAGCTGCACCCCTTTCTCAGATACACATGTGGAAGGAGAGGAGTTTAGGCTAAGGGGTGTTTTACTGCAGTGCACAGAGCAAATCTGTAGATGGGACTCCCAATGCATCAATGAATACCAGCCCAAACTGGGAGAAACGGTATTTCTCTTCCAGCTCCAGCAGGTTTACAGAGCTCAGGGCTGACCTGAAGCTTTGCAGCGGCTCCCAATGATAGGACGATACGTGGAAGCAGTGGAAAAACTGGCAGCCAACTTGAGCGAAGTTTCCAAGGAAAGCCATGGCTGCGCAGCCCTCTCCTTGCAGCGGCTCGCAGCTGTAAAAGCCTGTGTCAGCACAACGCCTGCACCATCAGAGATATGATGAGCTCTCTCCTATTTTTTTTCCCCCTCGCAGATGGAGAACACAGCCGGCTGGGGCCAGGGGAAGCTGACTCGCACTGGCTGCTTGGCTCTGAGAACTGAATTCCATAGGCGTTAAAGCTTCCCAAAATGCCCTATGGATTCAGTTCTGCAGCTGGGCAGCAAATAAGCCTCAATCCTCTAGGACAAGAATGGGACTGAGAGTTGCTCCTTCACAGAGACCAGAGTATGGACGGAGGTGAGTTGTGGCCACCATGGGAAAACCACTCAAGGCAGTGGCAGTTTGTATCAGGCTTTCTCTCAACCCCCACTACAAAATGCTTTCTTCCATCTGGAAGTGAAATGGCACTTGGGACAACAAATGCATTGCTACCTCCTGATGTACTGCATGCGATTGTAAGCCTCTGCTAAAAATACACATGGTCAGAACAACAGCCTGGGTGTGCCCAGCCATCTCCTGTTCAGAGTCCGGGCAGCAAAATCAAACAAAGCTATGCAGAAGATAAACAGGGAAGGATGGGTAAAGCTAAGAGTTGTGCCTGCTCTCTAGCCACAGGCTCCAGAGATGTCCACTGTAACACAGTGCAAAGCTGCACAGGAATTTTTTGGCTGGAGGAGTGGCTTTTAGGATAGATTATGCAGGTCCTGGTAAGTTACTTATCACCATAGGGCAGATCCCATGCTCCCCCTCACCTCACCTGGAAGAGCTGGTTTGCATCTGCTCCAGGATCCCAGCTAAAGCAGCCCCTTCCCAACACCCTTCTCATGGCAGACAGCATGCAGCTGACAGCCCAAGCTGTGCCCTGAACCAGACATAGAGAATAGGGGAAAGCTGCTTCCAGCACCCCAGCAGAGCACTGCACTGCCTGGACAAGGATCCAGTGCACAAACTACTGATGCAACACTACTGTCTGTAGGAGCAGTTGCTGCTGCTGGAAGGACAGGAAGTGCAACACCCTGCAATGCTGTGCTGCAGCAATACAGCTGCAGACCAGGACAGAGGACATCTAACTGCACATCTCCACCTGGGCAAGATGCTCTGCTTTGCCAAGGGAGATAAAGAGACAGGAATTGCTTTTTTCCTATGCTGGATAACTAAAGGTGTAGCTGATCACCCACCAGTCATTAGTGGAGGCCTTTTCCAGCCCATTCAACAAGTCTTGCAGCCACTCTTGCAACACAGCTAAACAGCATCAGTTTGGTCTGAGGTTTCTGCAGCAGTTTTTTCTGGTTCAGCCCTCTTGCAGCTTTATCTGGCAGCAGAATTAACCCCTTTCCAAGAAGCTGATGGGTGAAGGGGAAATCCAGATAGTTAACGAGACAAATTGTTGCATTAGTTTTAGAAAATCCACTTGCTTTGACTTTATAGCAACTCAGACCCTCCAGAGCTAAGTTCACCCGCACAGGCTCTCTCCTTTGCTTTGCAGACCAGGAGCAAACATTTCCCTCCTGCATTATTAGGCCCTTCTCCCATATGGCATGTCAGGGGGAGATTACAAGGGGACAGAGCAGACCTGTTTCTCCTGTACACTCCAGAAAGTCCCTACTAGTCCCCAAAGATGAAACTGTCAGGCAACAAACTAGGGCGAGGTAGGGTACTGCCAAGTACTGCCAAGCAGTGCAAGCAAAATAACCCACCATAGGTGGGCAAGAGCCATGTCAAACCCATCCCTAACTCTGCAAAAGGGTGTCAGACCAATTTGCAGGTTGTTCACAGGAGAGATAGCTGCCAGGCAGCTAAAAGCCAGGGATATAACACATTTGCATTTGAAATTTTTATTATTTATAATCATTTAAAAGGTACAGAAGTTTACAAGTCAGACCCAGCCCCTCACAGCCCTCCAGGTTTCAAGCACAACTCTGAAGTCCACCCTTCCAAGAGACCAAGCTGTGAAAGTGCTGTGGTTCACAACTCCAGTAAATCTCACTGGAGAGACAGCACCTCTAGCCAGAGCTGAGGGAGACCCAGAGGAGGGTCTCAGCAGTGATTTCAACAAGGACACATGGCCAGGAGAACCAAGCACCAGGTTACCAAATATAAGAGGATGGGGACACCAGGATCTTCTGCCAGCATGTAAGGAAATGTTGCGTACAGGCATTACACAGTGATTAAGTACAATGGAATGGTCATAAACAGCAGTGACAAGACATGCAAATATTTGCTCTTTGCAGTGTTCAAGAACCCCTTTCTCCTCTGGGACTTGCACTGTCCCGAGCCTGGAAGAAACCCCACTTTGATCTTATTGAGTGCCAGGAAAGGAGCCAGCTTCCAGGACATTCCCTTGCACGGAGTAGGAAGAGGCTGAAGTTTTCTGATGAAGGGCTGCTGCCTGGACATCCCCCCACCAGACTGTGACCGCACAACCAACCAGTGGAAATCAAGCTCTCATTTCAAAGCCAGAACCAAAGAGCTGATCTGACAGACAAGTGCCATGTGGTTTCTTCACAGGGCAGGCACTGTGCGAAGTGTAAAGTTGCCATAAGCTTGTGAAGGATGGGGAGCAGTTAAAAGCCAACAGAGGTGATGGCATTCATTGCTTGTGCTACTTGCCAGCTGCACCAAGAACAGCTGCCAACTGGTTTCCAAAAGGGCCCTGAGGCATTGGGTGATGGACTACATCAATGTCTCTGTTTCTTTTTCTTCTTACTGTTCCGGTCCTCACTGCTGTCATCTGCCTCACTGGCACTGGGGGTCACAGCCTGCTGGATAACTTTCTTTTCCACTGTATATTCCTGCTCTCCTACCTTGGGGTCCCCCTTCACCAAGAACTCCCCTTTCCTGTAGGTTATGGAGACACTGGTACGTGGGTAGGTGCCATAAACCCTTCGGAGATCATCCTTCACAAATGCTGGGAGATCTTTCCTTGGTCCAAACACCTTTCCAAGCTTCCCCCATTGAAGTTCTCCTCTCATTGTGAAGCCTTCTGGCCATGTATCACGATACTGATCTGACCTCTGGTAGGCAGCATAGGGATTGTAGTTTGCATAGGGATGGTAGAGAGGGATAGGGACCATGGGAGGGAAGTGCCAGGCGTAGTAGGGATGGAAGTAGGGACGGGAGGCACCATAGAGATGGTGATACTCCACCTGACCTCCCTCATAGTCAGGGTGGCTGTTCCGGTCCACCACAAAGGTGATGGGTTGGCTGTAGAAGCTGTGCATGTGGACGGGAGGGAACATCACAGGGCTGGTCATGTCTTCTGCTCTCCCAGTCCGCAGTGGTGGGTAGGCGAAGGCAGAAGGTGGGGTCACAGCTGGGTAATACTCCCGTGGCACAAAGCCAGACTGGTACATGGTACAGGAGCTGGGGTTTTACACAAGGGATGTTTCTTCAGAACAGTTGCCGAGTCTTAAAAGCTGTGAGGGGAAGAGAAACAATTTACATTGGTTATATACATTCCAGAACGAGGCTGAATAGGGAGATACGCTTAGCAGCACTGTAAGGATACCAACTAATAAAAGATGCTCCCTGCATCTGCAGCTTGCAGGGCAGTAACATGCCAAGAACAAGCAGAGCCTTATTGCCAGTGACTGCCCGATAGCTGCTCAGCAGGACTCATCATTTAACCCACCCAGATCTCACAGTTAAAAGAGTGGGAACCAGCTGGCATAGAAACCACTGCGGGCAGAAGAGATGGCCTCACATCCTTGTGACACATCTGCACTGCTGGGAAGCAGCAAGACAGGGTTCAAGAAGCTGGAGACCCTTGAGCAGGCATACAAATGGGGAAGGCGAACACCAGTGAAAGATGTTTTGTTTTCCAGCTAAGAGGAAAGAAGACACAGCCCAGCCCTGCTGCAGTAACTTCATGTCCTTGCCCAGACAGCAAGATCTTCAACTAAAAAAAGCAAGCTTCAACCGTCCTCGACTCTCCCCATCCTCCCAAAGCACTCCTACAACACGATCAGCAAACAAGAGCTGCGTCTGCTCTGTTTCTAAAGCAAAATCCAGCTGCATCCACATTTCCTCTGACGAAGTTCTCATGTAAAAGCATCTCACTGCAGTCTCACTACTTATCATTCACATTTAAGTGTGCATTTACCTTGAGAAACTCTGACCCACAGCCGAATTTGTTCCTAGCCTGCCCTTACCAGACAATCCAAGCATCCTCCAGGGCATTCAGCCACGTCCTCCCTGTGACTCATTATCCTCTCCCCAAGGGCAGGAAGGAAAGCTGTACATAGCATTGGTTTTTTTTAAAGAAACTTTGCTACCAGAGACAGGAAAAGTCCATGCACAGAACTAAACCAAGTTGTTGTCCCCATTCCCCCTCAACCCCCCACTTTAGATCCTTCAGCCTCTTTCTGCTACAGCCTTAACTATACACTTGCCTCTCGCAAGTGTTAACCAAGATGGTGAAACTCATCCCTCAGCTCTGTGCTTTCCCCCAGCCTAACAGGAAATTTGGCAGTCCCCTAATAACCTGCCTGCCACAAGCAATGCTGGGTACTACACAATGGAGGTTGTTCTTGTCCCTTGAGGTTCATAATCCGCACTAGCTCAAGCCTGCTTTTGCCATGGGTGCAGACCTCCAAGTCTAACCCTGCAGAAGGGAACAGCACTAGAGTATTTAAACAAGACCAGGCAGTACCCAGTACCCTTAAACCAGACTTGCAGCCTAGCAGCAAAGCCCATCATAACCATCACATCCCTCAAACAGGAGGAAAGGAAAAGTTTACAACCTACTTCATTTAGAGCCATTACAAAAAAATTAGAGGCTGAAACGGCTTCCAGGCAAATCAAATTTAACTGGGGTCTCCCCAGCTCATTAGCAGGTTGGGAAGGAAGAGAGCAGGTACTGTGATATTTCCTGCATTTAGCCCAGCTTACAACAGAGCATAGCTCAGGCACTCACCGGGCAAGGACAGGGCTGGGCTCTTCTCTAGGCTTGAGGGCTCCTAAACATCTCTTCCCAAATTTGCCTGACTGCTCAGAAAAGGTTGAGAGCTGAGCCTCCTGCAGCTCCACTGCCCCCTGTTTGAGCACACCTCATTATACCTTTATTGAGAGGACACCATTAGCTACCTCCCTAACAACTTGCCTGCCTAACTTGCTCAGAGCTACCACAGAAATCCAGGGGGATATTGTGTGTCAATAGCAGCATGAGGTGGGTAAATGGAATAAAATGATCTTCTTAAAAACCAGCCTCAGTGCCTCTTTTAATCCAGTTCAGCCCTGCATCCCTACCAAGAGCCACAGGATCACTTCCATGGACCCTTTGTGTTTCAGAGCAAGTGGTCCATACAGAGCACATAGCTATTGCAGCCATTGAGGGGAGACAATGCAAGCCCAGCTTGCCCCTCCTGCTTCATGCCTGTTTAAGACAGCCCTGGAGAAGCTGTTCTCTCATGTAGTTGATCACCACCAGCTCTTGCTCCAAAGCTACAGATGGTCCATCTACCATCTGCTGTTGCACGCTGCATCAGTGCTCACAGTTCTCCCGTGCAGTTGCAGAAGGGTGACAGGCCATCTTAATCACTCAGATTCCAGCACCAAGACAGCCCAAGCACTACTATTAATTGCTTTCATTTTGCACTGGGAAAAGATAAGGGGAACAAGCTGGTGGCTCAGCCAGGCAGGATGGCCCACAAGAGGAAGCAAACTGAAGAGGTAAGAGGTGGAATGAGATGAGGATTAAGCAGGGCTGGGAGTGCTCCAGGGCAGCATTGTCACATGCCTGACCACAGAAGTGCAGACATATCCCTGGAAGCAGATCACCCCAGAGGAGGGTGTTGACAGCAGACATAGCGTAGACAGCACTTCACAGCCCCAGAGGGAGAGTGCAAACCCATCAGGGCAAGCCTTGGCTCTGTGCTGGGGCTCTGGCTGCCTGATGCTGCCCAGTCCCTGCTGCTCCCCCAGCACCGAGATCTCCCCCTTACCCAAGCACCAGATCTCTCAGGATTGACCCAAGAGAGGCTTACCTTCACAAGCACAAGGGGACAAATCCCAGCTCCTGGCTTGCAGGGCACAGCACTGCTCTGAAGCATTAGGTGTGTTACAACAAGGTTTTGGTATGCAGGAGGCACAAGGCTCCGGCCTTGCCCCTCCAGAGCTGCAGCCTCTTGCTCCCAGAGGCTGACAACATTGTTTACCCCACCATTACACCAGTGCCTATCATTCATATTAGCCATCAGGCTTGCTTCCACTCCCAAGGCAGGTTTTGGGAGACCACAGGTGGAGCAAATTCCTGCTAGAGAACGTTGGGCTTAACTGCAGTGTGACAAATCCATGCATACAGGGGTAGAGGGTTTTGAGAGCACCAGTACCAGCTTACCTGGTCCTGTCAAATGCTCACTGGGAAGTGAAAGCAGGCAGTGCTTCAGGGAAAACAGGGTTTGGCAGGAAGGTGATCTTCTGTAGGGCCATCTGATGGCCAGAAGGCATCAAAAGCCAGATACTTAAGCAAAACAAGCCCCAGACACTAACATTACCTAGTGGTACCCCTTAAGGAAAGGGTCCATCCCCCAAGTCTCTCCTTCCTCTTTACCTGCTCCTGTTTCTCCAGTGCCAGCAGCCAGAGGCTGCCCTGGCTTTGGAAGCAAGCATCCAACAGCATCAATCCCCCCAGCTCTTCAGGAGCAACTGTAGGGCCAAAGAGGAGATCCTGGCTGACTTGTTTCCTCAGGCTACCATCCACTTTCTACCCTTGCTCCAATTTCAAGCTCTGCTATGCCTTCTGAAACATCACCATATCCATTGCCTGGCACCTGAGCAGGAAAGGGCAAAACAGTCCTTAGAGCTTTAGCTCTGCTAAATGCCTCTCTGGTCCCAGAGCCACAGCCATCCATTCCTATACACCAGCTCCCTCATGGCACAGACTGAAAGGGTGGCTGGGCAGGCAGCACACTGTGCCTGGGAACCAAGCCTCACCAGCCTGGGCACTGGAGCTGTGGTTGCTAGCGGGGAGTAACAACAGACCAACCCAATAAGAAACAAGGCAGCCTCTGCCTTCAAGCCTTTCCAGCAGTTTTAACCTTGCTGGAAAAGGGTTCAACCCCACTTGGCTGGAGCTGAATGAGAAGCCAGGCAGCAAATAAAGAGGAGAGAACTCACAAGAGGGTCACAGCCAGCTGAAATGAGATCTTCATCTCTGCTTGGTGAGAACATGATACTTCAGACTCTTCCCAGAGCAATTCCCTCACCCATGCCCAGCCATCTGGCAGGGCCTCTCCCTCCTCACACGTCTTGGTGAGAGTCGAGGAGGCTGACACTACAGCTCCCAAAATACTTGATCTGCCCAGAAAAGCATGCTTCAGAGCCAGCTGACCCAGACAGAGTTGCTAAGGAGCAGTCAAGCAATGTTTGCAACACAAAACCAGCCAGTACACTTGATAGCTCAAGTAGAGAGCAGATTCTGTTTCACCACTCAATTACACACTTACTACAGGTGAATCCACCACTAGTTAATGCCTAATGCTGTTAATGGCTTTTCTGGTATCTAAAGCAGCAGAAATTACTTGCTAGCATTAGAAAAACATGGTTTTGCTGGACATGTCTCAAGGCAGTAAAGCTTTACTGTCACCCAAGCTAGCTTCAAATCCAGGGAGCTTTCTGATTACCTGGTCATGGAGCACAAAGCCCACTGTGAGCCACAAAAAAACAGGAAAGTGTAAATATTTGAGTACATGTCAGACTGCACATTCTCTGGCAGAGAGATTGAAGCGATCCTGACTACAGGACAGCACAGACCAACATACACAGTGTGCCACAGTATCCAAGTGTGAAACTTCATACAAGTATCTTATGTCTTGAGATCATTTTCACCAAGGCCAACAGTTCAGAAGTGTCACCAAGTCTCCTGTCCACCTGAAGCAGTAACTCGTTAGCTGTGTCCTCAGGTCAGGCTGGCAGCTTGAAATGGTTTGGATGCTTCCTTGGGAAGCATACTGAAAGCCAACACAACTTTAAAAGCATTGGGCCCACAGAAGAGCACATGCCCACTTATTTTACTCAAATAATCAACCAAGACTATTCTTGCCTCATGCCATTGCCCTGTGATCAGCTGCTAAACAGGGAGATCCCATTAAGTCACCTTTTCCTCTCCACTGTTCCAGCACCCAAACTTTCAGACTCTTCTTTCCATCTTTCCTTCTGCCCTGCTCTCCCCATCCCACAAAACCCACAGATCTGCTGCTACTGCTCTGTAGCAACTCCCAAGGGTACAGGGATAAGTACTGAAAAAGCAACATTTCCCCTAACCAAGGGGATGAAGAAACAATGAGTTATTTCCAGTTAGTCTCCCCATTTTGAGCAGACTCTGCATAACTGTCACCCTCTGACAAAGCCCTGCCAAAGGCCTCCCTTGGAAAAAAAAAA